ATATACACTGCTCAAAAAAATAAAGGGAACACAAGCAGAAGACATCCGAGATCTGAATGAATGAAATAGCCTTATTAAATACTTTGTTTGTTACATGCAGGAGTTTTGTGTTCCTTTTAGTTGTTTGAGCAGTGTATAAACTACTGTATGTAAAGAACAAAGTATTTAATAAGGCTATTTCATTCATTCAGATCTCGGATGTCTTCTGCTTGTGTTCCCTTTATTTTATTTTTTTGAGCAATTATATATATTTTTTATTTTATTTTATTTTATTTTATTTTTCATATTTGTATACCGCCCTACTCCCGAAGGACTCAGGGCGGTGAACAGCCATAATAAATACAAATACATATAGAAGTTAAAAACTATTAAGAAACAGATTAAGTAATTCAGGCTCAAAGATTAAAGAACATCCAAATTTATCTAAAGAGGTTTAAAACCCAATTTAAAAGACAGTTTAAAAGCCAATTAAAAAGGGAGAGTTAGGCCAGACCAGCTTGTTGGAATAGAAATGTTTTCAGGGCTCGGCGGAAAATGCGTAAGTCTTGGATGTTTCGTAACTCCGGGGGAAGCCCGTTCCAGATGGTAGGTGCCCCCACAGAAAAGGCTCTCCCCCTGGGGGCCGTCAGTCGACATTGTTTGGCCGACGGCACCCTGAGGAGTCCCTCTCTATGGGAGCGAACTGGTCGGTGAGGGGCTATTGGTGGCAGGAGGCGGTCTCGTAAGTACCCTGGTCCTGAGCCATGGAGTGCTCTAAAGATAGTAACCAAAACCTTGAAGCGCACCCGGAAGACCACTGGGAGCCAGTGCAGCTCGCGCAGGAGGGGGGTTACATGAGAGCGCCACATTGCTCCCATTACCACCCGCGCGGCCGCATTCTGGACCAGTTGGAGCCTTCGGGTGCTTCTCAAGGGGAGCCCCATGTAGAGAGCATTACAATAATCCAGGCGTGAGGTGACAAGGGCGTGAGTGACCGTGCGTAACGAGTCCCGATCCAGAAAGGGATGCAACTGGCGAATCAGGCGAACCTGATAAAAAGTCCTCCTGGCTACGGCCATCATATGCTGTTCAAAAGACAGCCTTGAGTCCAGGAGGATGCCCAAGTTGCGAACCCCATCTGTGGGGGCCAACGACTCGCCCCCAATAGTCAGAGATGGCGCCAACTGACTATATCGGGACGACGGAAACCACAGCCACTCGGTCTTGGATGGGTTGAGTCTGAGTTTGTTCCTCCCCATCCAGATCCGTACGGCCTCCAGGCACCGGGACATCACCTCGAGGGCATCATTGGGGTGGTCTGGGGTGGAGATGTACAGCTGGGTGTCATCAGCGTACTGATGGTACTTCACCCCAAAACCACGGATGATCTCACCCAGCGGCTTCACATAAATGTTGAATAGAAGGGGCGAGAGGACCGATCCTTGTGGCACCCCACATATAAGGGGCCTCGGGGTCGACCTCTGCCCCCCTGTCAACACAGACTGCGACCGGTCAGAGAGAAAGGAGGAGAACCACTGAAGAACAGTGCCCCCCACCCCCAACCCTTCCAACCGGTGCAGCATGATATCATGATCGATGGTATCAAAAGCCGCTGAGAGGTCTAATAGGACAAGGACTTTTATTTTTATTATTTTTATTATTTTTATTTTTATTTTATTATTATTTTTAATTTTAGGGAATGTTAGCATTAACAATAATTGCATTCTGTTGTGCTGCCATGAGGCCCTCGTGTCTACACTGATTGGGGCACAAAGGACAGGTATACATAGGTGTTGTTGTCTGCATGTCACCACAATCGCAAAGAACAGAAGCAACAGGGTAGCCCCATTTCTTCAGAGTCTCTCTCAGGGGTGGGATTCTATTGGTTCAGACCGGTTCGGGAGAACCGGTAGCTACAACAATCAGCTGGGAGCGAACCAGTCCGTCCGCCCCTGCGCTTTACTTACCTTTATCTTCACAACTGATTAGCCAACAGAGCACATTGTTGTGCCTCAGCTGTTTTAATTCCCTAGCACTAACGCGGAAGGTGATTTTTCGTTGAACTGAGCATGGGCGCGCAGCAAAGTGCGCAATCACTGAACCGGTTGTTAAATCAGAAGGATCCCACCACTCTGGATCTTCTAGTACTTGGGCATAGTCTATTCATATGATTTCCATACTTCCCAGCTTTCATAAAACCCATGTGCCAGTTCCTCTGTTGGTTCCATCCAGTGTTGGCTCTTTGTAGCTTTCTATAGTTCCTCCCTGCTTTCAAATAGTTTTCAAAGTCTTCCGTCGACCTAAGAAAGCTTTTCCTGGATTTTAGTCTCTGTTGAACTTGGTTGTAGGCCCTAGAGAAGATTTTGTCTAGATATTGATGACTTGAGCCTCTCTTTGTATGTTGTTGCTTCTCTGCAGCCAGGACAAATTCCGGATGCTGATGAGTTGTGTAAGATAAAACAGTAAGAATTGGGTACCAAATGAATGTCCACAGAAGAAAAGAAGTACATTGGGGGTGTTTTAGTTTTGCCGAGGGAATGAATGAGGACAAAACGAGAAAACTGATATATGAAGGAAGAGCAAATAGGTCAAAAGGAAGGGGAAAGATGGGGAAAGTTATGGCTCCGTGGAGTTGATGAGATGGTAAGAAATGAGAGAAGATGATAGAAGGTGTGTTGTGACCTAGGGTTCCTGAGTCATTAAAACACACCAGTAGTCCCAAAAACCTCTTTTATTGCAACAGCTGTGAATTATTTTCATTCACAGCTGAGTCCCAATTAGTTGCAAAAAGTCCTTCAGGAGAAAAAGTCCTTCAGGATAATCACCAACCTTTATCTCCTTTGACATGCTGCAAAGACCTACTCAGTGCAAAGTCACACTGAGTCCAGAATCAAACAGAGATGCTGACTGGGAACAGAATTAACAATGTTGCTTTCCTGCGAAGTGCCCACATGCCTTTGCTCCTTTTTTAAGCCTTATGGGAGGGGCCAATCATCTCCAGGCCTTACTCCTGAGTTGTCCCTTTTGTTTTAATTGTTTGTGCCTTCTGGCAGCTTTGCGCATGCATGCACTAGGAACAGGCTCCTCCTGTTCCTCTGCCTCTCTGCTGTCTGACTCTGGAAGCTCCGGAGTTCATGCATCACTCCCAGATGGCCCTGGCCCCATCTCTGCCTCCTACACAGAGCCCTCATCCGGGCCTTCCCCAGACTCCAGGACTGGCCCACGTTCCTCCCCAGCCTCCTCACTGTCCGACTGCGCTGCCAGCTCCGCAGGCTGCTGGCGGACCACAACAAGGTGGTGCATGAAGTGGTGGAGAAATGGAATAGAAAAAAAATCTTGCTTTGCAAAAGTAGAAAGATATGGAGAGAGAAAGAGAACACTGTTGGTGTAAATTATGTTTCCTGTTCTTTTTTTTATGTCTAATTCATTTGGCTTCCCGCTTTTTAAAATTCCTTTCTTCACACTACGTAATAGTGCTTAATTCTAATGACAATAACATGGTGGGCACATATTTCTACTTTTGGATTTAGTTGAGTCCTTAATCCCTTTTGCAAGTTTCTTCCAAAAATAGGACTGTATGATATTACAAAATAATTTGAAATACGTTTCAGCGTTTTTATTTTTGCAGCAGCTGCCAAAAAACCCCCACAGTTTCTAGGCTGCATAAACAGAGGAATAGAATCAAGATCACGTGAAGTGTTAATACCACTTTATAATGCCTTGGTAAGGCCACACTTGGAATACTGCATATAGTTTTGGTCGCCACGATGTAAAAAAAGATGTGGAGACTCTAGAAAGAGTGCAGAGAAGAGCAACGAAGATGATTAGGGGGACTGGAGGCTAAAACATATGAAGAACGGTTGCAGGAACTGGGTATGTCTAGTTTAATGAAAAGAAAGACTAGGGGAGACATGAGAGCAGTGTTCCAGTAGTTGAGGGGCTGCCACAAAGAAGAGGGAGTCAAGCTATTCTCCAAAGCACCTGAAGGTAGGACAAGAAACAACGGGTGGAAACTATTCAAGGAGAGAAGCAATTTAGAACTAAGGAGAAATTTCCTGACAGTTAGAACAATTGATCAGAGGAACAACTTGCCTACAGAAGTTGTCAATGCTCCAACACTGGAAGTTTTTAAGAAGAGATTGGACAACCATTTGTCTGAAGTGGTGTTGGGTTTCCTGCCTAAGCAGGGGGTTGGACTAGAAGACCTCCAAGGTCCCTTCCGACTCTGTTATTCTATTCTAACCAGATGAACGTCTCCTTTAGGTATCGTTTCAGATGCATAAGAAAGTTAGGATCATCTATAATCCACCAAGGAACTTGGTTATATCACTTGTGTTGTATTGGGAGTACAAAATCTTGAACACTCTGTTATTATTTACTCTGTTCTTTCTCCAGTGCTATTCCTTTTTTTAAAAAAAAAATAATTTTTATTCCACATTTACATCTTTAATATCCTTGTTACATTTTTACAGCTTCCTGATACCGGCATCTTTGATAATATCTATAAACAACTATATACACATACATTTTATGTATTACTTACTAATTTCTATATTCACTACAGTTTATACCTATCTATTACACAATAACTATTTTGTTCCTCTATAATATCTTCTCTTATGTTTATACATTTATACATTAATTTTGGATTGTTTCTCCAACCAGTTATACCATCTCCAGTGCTATTCCCGTTTGGGGTTTTTTTGGGTGGGCAAAATCCTTTCCTAACTTCAGGTGGCGCTGTGCTTCTGTTCTGTGATACACAAGTAGCACAAAATATTCTCAAGAATATTATACTGCAGTGAAAGCAATTTTTTTAAATATAAAACTCATCTAAAAGTATAATCTGAGGTTGCTGGGGTCAAGTGACCAAAAATGATAATCAGCATGAATATGCATTTCATGTCAACCAATATACAAAGGTGTCTTCTGTTTTGACTCTGAGGTCTCGTAGCCGTCAGCAAGTTTTAATCCAATCTTTTTAATTTCTTGATCCCTGAAACTTTTGGCTTCCTCCCCAGGTCATTCTTCAACTCAAGTTGCAGTACTTCAATATGGAAAAGTGAACTCTTTGGAAATTCCATGGAACGTAGTCCAAGAAAAAGAAAATCTCCTGAAAAAGGTGGACTCCATTCATCGAAGAGAGAAAGGCCCAAGCAAGCTAGGTATCGTCTTCTCTGGTCCCCCTTGATAGGGCAAAAGTTTTGCTTTGATTTCTTGTTCTAAGAAAGTTTATTGAACTACTTATCACTTGGTTGTTGTATGTGTGCACACTGAGAGCTTCTGCACCGGAGACAAATTCCTTGTGTGTTCAATCACACTTGGCCAATAAAGAACTACCATGTTTTCCCGAAAATAAGACCCTGCCTTATATTTTTTTGAACCCTGAAATAAGCGCTTGGCCTTATTGCCATGCGCTCAAAAACCCAATTGGATTTATTAGGGAATGTCTTATTTTGGGGAAAACAGGGTATTCTGTTTTGTTCTGTTCTGTTCTGTTCTGTTCCGTTCTGTTCCGTTCCATTCTATTCTATTCCATTCCATATTTTCTGTTCTGTTCTGTTTTATTCTACTCTACTCTACCCTACCCTACCCTACCCTACCCTATCCTACCCTACCCTACCCTACCCTACCCTACCCTACCCTACCCTACCTTACCCTACCCTACCCTATCCTATCCTATTATTATTCTGTTCTGTTCTGTTCTTTTCTCATTCCATTCCCTAGTCTAGTCTAGTCTCATCTTGTCTCGTCTTGTCTATTTTCTTGATCTGTTCTTGTTCTTTACTCGGCTCATAAACTATGCTTGTTCTGTATTATTTTCAGGGGAAGCAATAGACTTCGTGGTCCAGCATGCCATTTCCGAAGCCAACGGAGGACGACCCAATGCATCCAAAACGGCCGTGGTTATTGTGGCAGGCACCTCAAAAGACGCTGTGGAAGCTGCTGGGTATTCCGCAAGAGCCAATAGTAAATTTGTTATTTTACCATTAACTTATATAGTGCAAAGATATTTTGGAAACATACTTCTAGCTTGTGGGATATTAAATGCCCCTGTTGTTTTGTTACTGAAGTATATTTGCCCTGCTTTATAGATGGTTTGATATCCCAGAATTCCATACAGGTAGTCCTTGACTTACGACCATAACTGAATCCAAAATTTCTGTTTGCTAAGCGAGACAGTGGTTAAGTGAGTTTTGCCTCATTTTATGACCTTTTGGGCCATAGTCTTTTAAGTTAGTCACACAGTTGTTAAGTGAATCAGGCTTCTCCCATTGACTTTTCTTGTCAGAAAGTCACAAAAGGAGATCACATGACCCTGGGATACTGCGATCGTCATAAATACGAGACAGTTCCCAAGCGCCTGAATTTTGATCACATAACAGTGCGGATGCTGCAAAGGTCATAAGTGTGGAAAAACGGTCATCAGTCACTTTTTCAGTGCCGTTGTAACTTCAAATGGTCACTAAAGGAACGGTTGTAAGTCCAGGACTGCCTGTATACATGCCTGGGCTCCTGGGTCTATAGGGGTTAAGAGCAGAGCATACATTTTTCAGCACCAGTGAATGTTTTTCAAGATGCTTCTGGCCAGTGGTGAAATCTGAATTTTTTTACTACCGGTTCTGTGGGCGTGGCTTGGTGGGCGTGGCAGGGGAAGGATACTACAAAATCCCCATTCCCTCCCCACTCCTGGGGGAAGGATATTGCAAAATCTCCATTCCCTCCCCACTCTGGGGCCAGCCAGAGGTGGTATTTGCCGGTTCTCTGAACTGCTCAAAATTTCCGCTACCGGTTCTCCAGAACCTGCTGGATTTCACCCCTGTTCCTGGCGAGAAAGAGCTTTTTCAATGGAGAAAGGAAAGAGACACTATTGCCCCCAGTTTGTGGGGGCAATAAACTGACTTTGTATAAATATACAAAAGTATGAAGGCTATTACTTAATGCATTGTAAGCTGCCCTGAGTCACCAGAGAAGGGCGGCATATAAATCAAATTAAAAAAAAAAAAACACTTCACATTTTGTGCAAAAGTCTCTTTCTCTGGCTTATTGAGAGACACCTATTGGCGTTGTCACTTTGTGTTCCATACGTTGCATCCAGTAAGACAGCCTACAGTAGTTAACCAACACTAAATTCTTTTGGGGGGAACAAAGAGGTACCATGTTTCTCCGAAAATACGACCTACTCAGAAAGTAAGTCCTAGCTTGATTTTTACACGTGTGCCCAATATAAACCCTACCCCTAAAATAAGCCCTAATTAAGATCCCACCCATTCCAGGGTGCACAGGTAAAAATTAAACTAGGATGGGGATGCGGTAGTGATGGAGCTGCCCTACTACTTACCTTCGGATAGTTGCAGCCAGGCCTCGCACACGTCAGCCTATTTCTTCTGCAGCCAGCAAGGCTTTACTGAAGGCCTCTGTGTCGGCTGTAGAGGCCTTTCCTAAAAGCCTTTTCTGAAGGCCTTTGTAGCTGATAACAGAGCTCCGGATCAATCTGGAGCTCTGTTATCATCTACAAAGACTTTCTGGAAAGCCTTGCTGGCTGCAGAAGAAATGGGCCAAGGTGTTCGAGGCCTAGCTGCAACTATCCGAAGCCGAAGAACAGCGGTGAAATCCTCTGAAGTCTACTGCCGGCTCTGTGAGTCTGCTACCAAGCATGCACTTTGTGCGTGCATGCGCACTTTGCACGCATGTGGGCCTGTGGTGCGCACATGCAGCACTAAAAAAGGAGCATTTTGAAGCCTTCCGAGTCTGCAAAGGTAAGTAGAAAACCGGGGGGGGAGGGGGGATCCGCTGTGCCACGCAATTTAGATTAGCTAGAAAGCAGGGAATCTGATGATTCTAGCTAATATAAATTACGCGTCACAGCTGATGGTTGGAAATACTGATTCGCCCGAACTGGTAGCATTTTTTACTATTGGTTCACCCGAACCGGTCCGAACCGGTAGCATTTCACCCCTGCTGAAGAAGTTCCTGAAGGCCTCTGACAGCAAAAAGGAGGCCGGGGGTGACGTGCACAAGTGATGTGAGTCGGTGGATGACATTCCCCTCCCCGAAAATAAGACCTGGTGTCTTTGTTGATGGCAAAAAAAAATATAAAACAGGGTCTTATTTTCAGGAAAATCGGTAGATAGTTGAAGGGAAGGAGAAACAGGTTCTTTTCTCCTGTGTAATATTGTGCCAAGTCCAGACCTTCGCAGTTGCCATGCAAGAGAGAAAAGGTCACCGTGCATAATTTACATGTGGCCGGTAGTGTAACCTGTAGCCTGGCCGTGACCTCAGCATCTACTCCTCACTCCCAGTATAAATCTTCAGGTAGGATTACCTCTTCATATTGTGTTGTGCAAGGTAATCAGAAGTTTTTAAAGCTGATTGAAAAGAAGGAAAACCTGCCTGATGATTTTCCTTGATAATAATCCTATCCGATGCTCTGGGTGACCAGCTTGGGAATTCCATCATCTTTGTCTACTTTCAGACATTAAAACAAGCCGTGTTAAAAAAAATTAATGTTGTTATAACTATTGACTGAACAAAAATGGATCCAAAGTTGGTAGCGCATTGAAAAACCATTTATGGGTCCATAAACCAGTTTTCTTTTCTTTTAAATAGTCTAGATCTGTGATGGCGAACCTATGGCACGCGTGCCACAGGTGGCACGTGGAGCCATATGGCTGGGCACGCGAGCTCAGCTCCGGTGCTCTGATTTTCAGGCCTTCTGGGCCCACCAGTCAGCAAACGGGCCATTTCCAGCCTCTGGAGTGCCTCCGGCGGGGGGAAGGCTGTTTTCGCCCTCCCCAGGCTCCTAGAAAGGCTCTGGGGCCTGGGGAAGAGTGAAAAACGGGTCTACCAGGCCCACTGTACCATTATGTGCCGGGGGGGGGGGGGGAGGGGGGGGTCACACGTGCATGCGTGGGGGGTGGGGCACATAGAATTATCGGTATGGGCATGTGTATGTGTGACCCCCCTGCACTCCACCTGCTTTTGGCACGTGATGGCGAAAAGGTTAGCCATCACTGGTTTAGATCAAGGGTGTCAAACTCAATTTCACTGAGGGCCGCATCAGGGTTGTGTTTGACCTTGGGGGACCGGGGTGGGTGTGGCCAGGGTCGGTGTGGCCAGCTCAGTATCACTCCTGTCGGGGGCGCCTGTGGTGGCTCCCGAGCTCTGTTTTTGGCTGGGACGGCCTCCTGCAGCCCTCTGCCAGTGAAAACAGAGCTTGAGGGGGCTGTGCGTGGCCCTCATGAGCTCTGTTTTCAGCTAGGACTGCCTCCTGCAACCCTCTGCCAGTGAAAATGGAGCAAGCAGCCCTCCCAAGCTCTGTTTTTTCTGGTAGAGGCACTGCGGGCTGGTCCTTCGCTGTTTCCAGGGCAGCCCCGCAGGCTAAATCTAAGCACCTGGTGTGCTGGATCTGGCCCCTGGGCCTTGAGTTTGACACCCCTAGTCTAGATAAATTGTGAAATTATATTATTCCTGTGATATGATAAATTTAGATTCTGAGTGCAGCCGAAGACATACAACTGCCAAATACTTAATCAGCTATTGGACGTGGATCTCAAATTATACGGTTTTCCTCCCTTGATCTTCTGCTCTTGGGTAGAACTGTGATTAAACGTGATTAAATTAAAGTGGGAGCAACTTTAAGCATTTTAGGGCTAATTAAGCTTCTTATAAAAGCTACAATCTGTTTCCATTTTAAAGCTGTAGGGTCCGCTTTTGAATTAAGGATGAATTCTTGATTGACCTAATTATTATTGTTACGCAGAGCCTGTGTATGTGGTTTGCAGCAGAACTAGGTTTTTGATTGTGCAAATCTTTTTAGGCAACCGACAGTGGTCAATCCACACTGATTTACATATCAGTTTAGGATTATTTTAGTGACATTAATTCATTGTAAAATGAGAATAGGATCTTTACATTAATGTTTTTTCCCCCCAATCTTCTGAAATATATTTTGTCGTGATTCCGTTCTGGTGAGCAGGGGGGAAAAAAAATCTTGTGCTGAAAATGGAGAATGGAAATAATTATCATTATTATTATGCCAAAACTGATTTTAACCAAACCATTTTTTTTTCGAACACTTGTATTGAAGTTCAAATTGAATTAAGGAGGATTTCAATCTGTCCTGCTTTTCCCAGGAGTTTCACTGCTTCCCATCGGCGTTGGCACCAAATATAATGCGGAACAATTGAAAGCTTTAGTGGGGCCATCTGCTAAAGACACGATCATTAAGTTGCAACATTTTGAAGATCTTTCTATGATGATCATGTTGGATGATGAATTTATGAGGAAGCTTTGTACAGGTAAGCCCCATATCCAGAGCTGGTATTCAGCCGGTTCGGGAAAACTGGTAGTGCCGACCCTCCTCCACCCAGGCACAATCCTGTCCTATATCACTGTGTTGTTTCACATCACACGCATGTGTGGATGGCGCACACAAGCGAACGGCCATGTTTTGTGATGTCGCACGTATGTGCGGATGGTGCGTGCTCACATTTCCGGTGCTGGGCGAACCGGTAGTACTGTGTTTCCCCAAAAATAAGACCCTGTCTTATATTTTTTTGAACCCCAAAATAAGCGCCTGGCCTTATTTTTCAGGAGGTTTTATTATTTTGGGGTGCAATGAGCAAGATGGGGCTCCTCTTGCCATCTTACCTGATTTCCAGCTCTGCTTTTAAATATTTTCGGGGAGGGCTTATTTTCAGGGGGAGGCTTATTTTAGCGCATGCACTCAAAAGCCCGATTGGGCTTATTATCAGGGGATGTCTTATTTTCGGGGAAACAGGGTAACAGTATGTGAATCCCACCTCTGTCCATATCAGTTCACACCAGTGGTGAAATCCATTTTTTTTTTACTACCGGTTTTGTGGGCGTGGCTTGCTGGGCATGGTGGGGCTTTGTGGGCATGGCTTTGTGGGCATGGCAAGTGGAAGAATCCTGCAAAATCTCCATTCCCACCCCACTCCTGGGGGAAGGATATTGCAACATCTCCATTCCCACCTCACTCTGGGGCCAGCCAGAGGTGATATTTGCCGGTTCTCCAAACTACTCAAAATTTCCACTACCGGTTCTCCAGAACCTGTCAGAACCTGCTGGATTTCACCCCTGGTTCACACTCTATATAAGCTCATATTCAGATGTTGTTTGTTTTTTAAGTAGAGATGTTGCATCTTTTATTTCTTACACTGTTTCAAAAGAAAGTTCTGTTTTCGTACTTGAGATGACAGCCGATGCCTCTGAGCAAATTAGCACTTCAGAATATCCTGCTTTAAAATTATCCCCCATGTAGAAAATAATGAAGAGGGAATCTTATTAAAAGGAAACTGTGAGCCAGGATGTGGTACCCGGATAGGATTTCTCAGTTCATTAGTTAATTGTTCAATGGGAATGTTGACACAGGCTTAAAAGATGACAAGGGCATTAAAGGACTGTATTAAGTCTTAGTAATCATAATTATTTGCAGAGATGGAAAATCATCCTCTTTATAATGGAAGCAAACACTATCCTCACAAATAAGACACTGGCTTCTGACTATGAATATACTTTAAAAAAAAAAGATAACTCAAAGAGCAATGTAAGTTCTCAGGAATGTTAGAAAAATCTTCCCAGCATTGCAGAAACTGCCAAAAAGAAGAGTGGGGGGAGGGTTTCCACCTATTCTCCAAAGCACCTGAAGGTGGAGCAAGAAACAGTGGATGGAAACTAATCAAAGAAACAACCAACTTAGAACTAAGTAGAAGTTCTTAAGAAGTTTCCTAAGAATTAGAACAATTAATCAGTGGAACGGCTTGCTTCCAGCAGTTGTGGGTGCTCCAACACTGGAAGTTTTTAAGAAGAGATTTGTTAGAAATTCTGTTTATATATAGCATCACAGAGCAAATAGACTGTGATTTTTATCTCAAGTTTTACGATGATGTCTTACGAATGTCTTTGGATGGCTTCCTTTTCAGAAACTGCTCAAGAGTGTATAGATGAAGAGGGGAATATCAGAGCCGTAAGTATGTCATTCACACGTTCTGTGAGTTTCAGAGACATCACTTGTTATGGATGGCCAATTCACAGAGTTGGAGGGAACTAGTCTGGGCAGGAAATCAAAGTTCAGAGCTTCTGAGGCTGAAGATGCTTCCACCATCTTGCGCTCCTATGAGGTAGCCTGCTTGAGTCTTTTCCTTCAGTTGGAGAGGATGGTCACCATAATTGTCCCAAAAGTGCTTTTTCAAGAGGCAACTGGACTTTCTTGTCTTTTCTTCTTTTGAAGATGTTTCGCTTCTCATCCCAGAAGCTTCCTCAGCTCTGACAGGATAGTCAGGAATGGAAGGGTTTATATTCCTTGCAGACAGCTGGTTGTTTGCATCCTTTTAGAGAGTCCTTGAAGCACTTGGAGGTTTATCTGTGTCCTCAGGGTCACCTGAGTAGTACAAATGGTTCCTGTAGTCTGCAATTTTTCCTCTGGAAATCCATTCCTACTCCCACACCATTCAAAGGGGGGATTTCAAAGAATCTCTACAGACTTTTGGCTGTACACAGGGCCGGATTTTCCTATAGGCTAACTAGGCTTCAGCCTAGGGCCTCAAGATCAAGAGGGGCCTACATTCAAATTGTTAGCAAAATTAAAATTACACTTTCACTATAGTTGAAAGGGCCTCATAAGTGGAATAGCCTAGGGCCTCTTTTCATCTAAATCCGGCCCTGGCTGTACAATTTGGAATGAACACCCTTTGAATGGTGTGGGAGTAGGAATGGATTTCCAGAGGGAAAAAAATGCAGACTACAGGAACCATTTGCACTACTCAGGTGACCCTGAGGACACAGATAAACCTCCGAGTGGCCTCAACGACCCTGTAAAGGAATGCAGATGACCAGCTGTCTTCAAGGAGTATAAATCCTTCCATTCCCCTCCACCATCCAGTCAGAGCTGAAGAAGCTTCTTGGATGAGAAGCGAAATGTCTTCAAAGAAAAAAAAAAAACAGAAAGTCCCGTTACCTCTTGAAAAAAGCACCTTTGGGACAACCAAGGAGGACTGTGGAGAATCTCCACAGACATTCACCACGACTGTGTTTGTGACTTTCTGTCTGTAGGGGGAAGACTTGCATTGTTATCAATGCTGCTGTCGATTTTGTTGGATTGCTGGAGCCCTTGGCTGGTTCCAGACGTTTTCCCAATTCTTTCTCGTAGACCAATTTGCCTATTTTTCCCCTATAAAGATCTTAAACGATTTGGCATCTCATAAACAGAGAGCAAGCTAATGAAAGCAACACAGAACCTCTTCTGCCAAGCTCATGCGCGAACCCTTTTTTTAGTTCCTTTATTTCTATCGGGCTGAGGAATTCGTGGAACTAAATTCTTCCATCTCAGCCAAGAGCAACCGAGCCACTTTTTATTACTGAAATAAAAAATAAAAAAAATACACCGATATAATTTTCTTCAGTGTGTTTGGGTGGGCAGCGTGGGGTTTGTTATTGTGCGCTTGACTGCACGAAGATCCTTCTTCTTGTTTGGTCTCTTAAGTCCTGTGTGACTCTTTGCAGCGCCATGGACCAGGGGTGAAATGCTACCAGTTCGCACCGGTTTGGGCAAACCGGTAGTAAAACAAGCTACCGGTTTGTGTGAACCGGTATTTCCAATTCCAATTTCTCCAAAGCACCTGAAGGCAGGACAAGAAGCAAAGGATGGAAATTAACCAAGGAAGAGAAGCAACCTAGAACTAAGAAGAAGTTTCCTGACTGTTAGAACAATTAATCAGTGGAACAACTTGCCTCCAGAAGTTGTGAATGCTCCAACACTGGAAGTTTTTAAGAAGATGTTGGATAACCATTTGTCTCAAGTGGTGTAGGGTTTCCTGCCTAAGCAGGGAGTTGGACTAGAAGACCTCCAAGGTCCCTTCCAACTCTGTTATTCTATTCTGTATTCATCAGCGGTCTGGATTGGCACTATTTCCTTCTGGCGTAGCTCAAGATTTTCAGCTAGAAACGCTTAAATAGTTTTGTGTCCCTTCCTAACGTCAGTTTTTCTTTTCCAGAGTTGAGAAATTTTTTCTTATATCATTGTTTTTTGTAAAAAAATAAATAAAATATGGAAGGTATGCCAAACCAGCATAACACTAAGCATTCTCTTCGCCCATCAAACTGATTCCACAGGGTCTTTGGTTAGCAATCTTAGCACACAATGAATCAAAGTCAATAATCAAACCCTGTGGATTCCAGGGAGAAGGAATGATCCCACCGAAATCAGTGGAAAATAAACTCACTTCGACTGGTTTAGGTCCAGAATTTCTGTATACCAATTTCCCCCAATTTGGGAACGTTTCAATTGCATAGATGGCTCGAAATTCTCAGCAATAGCCATGCTGGCTATGAATGAAAGTCTTTATGACATTAGGAAAGCCCCCAAATTTGAGGAAAGCAATTCTACACCATTAATCTTTTCCAGGTGAAAATATGCTGAATTTTGTAACTGTCTTTTGTTAATGGTTTTGGTGGGACGTGGTGGCTCAGTGGCTTAAGATGCTGAGCTTGTCAATCGAAAGGTCAGCAGTTCAGCGGTTCGAATCCCTAGTGCCGCGTAATGGGGTGAGCTCCCGTTACTTGTCCCAGCTTCTGCCAACCTAGCAGTTCGAAAGCAGGTAAAAAATGCAAGTAGAAAAATAGGGACCACCTTTGGTGGGAAGGTAACAGTGCTCCGTGCGCCTTTGGCATTTAGTCATGCCGGCCACATGACCACAGAGAAGTGTTCAGACAGTGCTGGCTCTTCAGCTTTGAAACAGAGATGAGCACCACTCCCTAGAGTCAGGAACAACTAGCACATGCATGCGAGGGGAACCTTTACCTTTTACCTTTGTTAATGTCTTCTCCCATGGACTTTCAGATCAGGGATGTCCAACTTTGGCAACTGTAAGACTTTTGGACTTCGATTCCTAGAATTCCCCAGCCAACATGACTGGCTAAGGAATTCTGGGAGTTGAAGTCCACAGATCTTCAAGTTCCCAAGGTGTTGTCGTCCGCCAGCAGCCTGTGGACTTGGCAGCGGAGTCGGATAATGAGGAGGCTGGGGAGGAACATGGGCCAATCCTGGAGTCAGGGGAAGGCCCGGATGAGGGCTCTGCGTCAGAGACAGAGATGGGGCCAGGGCCATCTGGGAGTGATGCGTGGACTCCAGAGCCTCCAGAGGCAGACAGTAGAGAGGCAGAGGAACAGGAGGAGCCTGTTTCTAGTGCATGCATGTGCAGAGCTGCCAGAAGGCAAGAGCAACTGAAGCAAAAAGGACAACTCAGGAGTAAGGCCAGAAGATGATTGGCCCCTCCCATAAGGCTTAAAAGAGCAAGAATGAGCCGTAGGGTTCTTTGTAGAAAAGCAACGTTGATTCCTGTGCTTCTTGTCAGCGTCTCTTGAACTTTGTGGGGGGTTTTGCCAAGAAAAGTCTTTGGCAGGTCGCCAAAGACATCAAAGGTTGTTGATAATTAAGATTATTAAGAATTTTGTTTTGGACTAAGCTGAGAATGAATTAATTCTCATCTGTTTTAATAAAATAAGTTTGTTCAGGACTGAATTCTGTTTGGTAATCACTACTTGGGCCTCGGTCACATGACAAGAAAGGACATCCCTGCTTTAGATTATAAATCACAGTTTGGTGCCCATTGAACAGAGACCTCCGAAGGAGGGCACCTTGCGGATTTCCTTAACCTCGGATCCTATTTTTAACTTTGGGTGTGTCCTTTTGTGCAGCCTGGTGACAAGTGGCGGTTGCTGGATCAGTGTTACAGTGTGACCTGCTTACCAGGTGGCCACACAGAACTGAAAAGCCACCGACATCTTTGTGAGAAGATGGCCAAGCCGACATGTCACAACAATTTCCCTGCTGTTAAAGTGGAGGAAACCTGCGGCTGTCGTTGGGTGTGTCCTTGTGAGTAGTTTTGTTTTTGTTTTCCTGTAAAATCTCACCAGGGGAGAATTAACAACTCAGAGAAAAGGGCTTCAGCCGATTAGAACAGAATCAGGGGTGGGCTTCAAAAATTTTAGCAAGGGGTTCTCTGCCCGGTTGCTGAGTGGGCGTGGCCATGGTGGGCTTGGCCTAGTCGGCCTCCTGCACCACAGTGGGAAGGCGGCATTTTTGCCCTCCGCAGGCTCTGGAGGCTTTACTTCAGCCTCTGGGAGGGCGAAAACAGCCTCCCCAGGCTCCGGAGGCCCTCTGGAGGCTAGAAATGGGCCTGTTTCTGGCCTTCCCAAACTTCCAGTAGACCTGTTTTTCACCGTCCCTGAGCCTCCGTGCATGCCCTGCACTTACCTGCATCCAAAATGGGCCGTGTGGGGACTCCTGGGAGGGGCGTGGCAGGTGGGACCAGCCAGGAGTGGGATTTGGGGGTTCTCCGAACTGCACAGAACTAGAGGTTCTCCTGAACCTGTGTGAACCCCCAGCAGCCCATCCCTGAACAGAATATGGAATACAGGTAATATCATCCAGGAAATGACTATTTAGCTGAACATTGAAGATATCTATCCTAGGAAGGAAGGAAGGAAGGAAGGGAGGGAGGGAGGGAGGGAGGGAGGGAGGGAGGGAGGGAGGGAAAAAGAAAGGAAGGAAGGAAGGAAGGAAGAAAGGAAAGAATGAATGAATGAATGAATGAATGAATGAATGAAAAAAGAGAAAGAAAGAAAGAAAGAAAGAAAGAAAGAAAGAAAGAAAGAAAGAAAGAAAGAAAGAAAGAAAGAATCCTAAATAAAGGATAATCTTGCCAATATTGTTTGGGGAAGGAAACAAGAGGAAAATATCTCATTTATTAGAAAGAGGAAACTAAATGTAGAACCTCATAATGTCATCTTCTTTTGGATATTTGAATCTAAAACTTACTGCAAACCCACAGAGCTGCGTAATGTTCTAGTCAAGTGCATCTCTGAACTGACAATGCACATGTGTCACAGCCCCTAGCATGCTTTGGAGACATCACTAACTCAGAATCTGTAGAGAAGGACTGGCAGAACCAGGGGGCGGAGTTAAAAGAGGTATCAGCCAAGAATCCCTATGTAGCCACAAGCAAACTAAGTCCAACCTCCCTTGAATTCCATTACTCCTTGTCTAACTCTAACCAGATGCTAAATGTTACTTGAGAAGATTCTTGTGCATAGACTATAGCAGGGGTGTCAAACTCAAGGCCCGGGGCCGCGGGGTGCTTAGATCTGGCCCTCAGGGCCACCCTGGAAACAGCAAAGGACTGGCCCGCAGTGCCTTTGCCAGCTAAAAATGGAGCTCGGGAGGGCCGTGCGCGACCTTCACGAGCTCCATGTTCACCGGGAGAGGGTTGCAGGAGGCCGTTGCAGCCTAAAACGGAGCTCTGGAGTATGTTTTCTCTGGCAGAGTGCTCGGGCCCCCACAGGCACCCTCAACACGAGTGACATCAAGCTGGCCACACTCACCCTGGCTACACCCTCCCCCCAGCCCTCCTGAGGTCAAACACAACCCTGATGTGGCCCTCAATGAAACGGAGTTTGACACCCTTGGATTATAGCAATAAATCAGTTTAATTGGACCACCATGTGGAGACGCCTGACAAGATCTCGTACCTGCACTTCAGATTTTCCATTCTACTGTGGGGAAAACCTCAGCATATCATAAATTTTTCCAAAGGTTGATGATCTTCAACATATTTGCCCTGGGATTTGCCACAATGTTCTGGAATCCAAGTGCCTCAGGAGATGGATTTCTCCAGTTAAGAGATCAAGACTGTAATTTTCAGCTGTACTTTCTGCTCTTTCTCTGCAAATGGAGATCTTGTGAATTAGTACAAGGGGACAAATATAGAGTGCCTTCTGGAAATCACATGGAGTGGGTCTCATCTGCTCTTGAAAGCGAAGAAATTATGTGACAAAACCTCCACTCTGAGCAACAGCACTTGACACATACACAGGCTTCACAATCAAGTGATTGACTGCCAAGGATGTGATTTTTGTATTCATTGACACCGAAACAAGAAAGAAAGAAAAAAGTCACATAAATAAATTGCTTTCAAGATGATAGAAACCCCTTTGCCAGCTGTTGAGTGAACACCGTTGGATTTTTGTGACAAGATTTTCATTTCTGTTGTCGTTTTCCTTATTATGCTTGCCTCTCCAAACGTTCGTGTTGGAAGTTTTAATACTCTTTGTGGGGGGGGGGGGAATGGAAGACTGAGTCAACCTTGAGCCTGGTGAGATTTGAACTGCCAAATTGCAGTCAGCAGAAGTAGCCTGCAGTACTTCACTCTAACTACTACACCACCGCAGCTCGATGGAGTTCTTGAAGTGGCCAAAAGAAGTGTCATTGCTGAAGTTCTCCTGTTGCCTTTCATGTGTGCAGCAAAAAAAAGAGAGGGGGTAAGTTTTGTGGCTCCATTGCCTGAGCCTGGGCTATTGACAGATGCAGACTCTGAGAGTGAGGGAAAGGAGTTGGCAAGACCTCCCTCTCCAGGACCCTCCTCTCTGGCAATGCCTCCGGAGGACACCGAAGGCCAAGAGATAGGCCCAGAGCCAAGCACGTCCCCGCAGCCACAGGTGGACAGCGACGAAGGAGATAAGTGCTGGCTGGATTCTCGACAGCGGTGCAGGGAGAAGCGTGCGCAGCAGAGGGGAAGGCGTGCCAGAGATTAGCTGAGTCACTGGACCACACCCCACAGGGTATAAATGTGGGTGTGGTGGCCGGTTCAGTTTGTGACGAGCAAAAACTAGAAATAATCCATGATCTCTGCGTTATTGGACTTCTGCCTGCCTTGTCGGACTGCATTTGGACTAATCCTTGTATTGCTGAAACTTTGCTTGCTTTATCGGAATGCCTGCAGTCTAATCTTTGTTTTGTGTGAGTAAAGTCTGAATTGGCAGCTAGCCACTGGGTTGCTGCCAGCTTTATCTTCAAAGACTTTGTCGTGTGGCTTATTAACTCCGGGCCGTCTGTGGGGGTGCGTGTGTGGGACGGGGACAGAACAGGTATGTAACAAATAAGTAGTGTCCTCCCAAGGTCATCTTTTAACTTCCTCTTTATAGGTACATGCATGGGAAGTTCAACCAGGCACATTGTCACCTTTGATGGACTGGATTTTAAGCTGACAGGCAACTGTTCCTACACCTTGTTTGAAGACAAAGAAGAAGACATTGAAGTGATTCTTCACAATGGAGCATGCAGCTCAGCCCCCAGACTCAACTGCATGGACGCCATTGAGGTCACACACCAGGGCTTCTCCGTGCAGCTCTATGACAACATGACGGTAAGAAGACCGACAGGAGAAAAAAAATGAGAGTAGGTCAAGGGGGCTCCTGTTCATTTTGATTTCGTGATGACGGATCCATGAGAGGTGACACAAAAAGTACAGCAGAATTGCGAAAATGCCCCGTGTAGACTTCGTTTCAAGACAAATAATTGAGAGCCAGTTTGGTCTTCTGGTGAAGGGCACCAGGCTAGAAACCAGGAGACTGTGAGTTCAAGTTCTACCTTAGCCATGAAAGTCAGCTAAGCAACTTGGGGTCAATCACCAGGAGACTGAGAGTTCTAGCCCCACCTTAGCCCTGAAAGCCATCTGGGTAACTGTGGGACAGTCCCTCCCTCCTCTCTCTCTCTCCCTCCCTCCCTCCTATCTCCCTCCCTCCTCTCCCTCCTCTCTCTCTCTCCTTCCCTCCCTCCTATCTCCCTCCCTCCCTCCTCTCTCTCTCCCTCCCTCCTCTCTCTCCGTCCATCCTCTCCCTCCCTCTCTCCTCTCCCTCCTCCCTCCTCTCTATCCCTCCCTCCGTCCTCTCCCTCCTCTCTCTCTCCCTCCCTCCTCTCTTCCTCCCTCCTCTCCCTCCCTCCCCTCCTCTTTCTCTCCCTCTCTCCCTCCCTCCCGCTTCTCTCTCCCTCCGTCCACCCCTCTCTCTCTCTCCCTCCTCCTCTCTCTCCCTCTCTCTCTCCAGTGACCCTCTCTCCCTTCCTCCCTACTCCCTCCTCTCTCCTCTCTATCCCTCCCTCTGTCCTCTCTCTCCCTCCGCCCTCTCCCTCCTCTCTCTCTCCCTCCCTCCTCTCCCTCCCTCCCGCCTCTCTCTCTCTCCGTCCACCCTCTCTCTCTCCCTCCCTCCCTCCATCCTCTCTCCCTCCCTCCCTCCTCTCTATCCCTCCCTCTGTCCTCTCTCTCTCTCAGTGCTCTCTCCCTCCTCTCTCTCTCCCCCCTCCTCTTTCTCCCTCCCCTCTCTTCTCTCTCCGTCCACCCTCTCTCTCTCCCTCCCTCCCTCCTCTCTATCCCTCCCTCTGTCCTCTCTCTCTCTCTCAGTGCCTCTCCCTCCTCTCTCTCTCCCTCCCTCCTCTTTCTCCCTCCCTCCTTTCCCTCCCTCCCTCCTCTTTCTCTCCCTCTCTCCTCCCTCCCAATTAATGTACATTCAAAGTGACAGTAAAGACATTCTATTCTATTCCAAAAAGGCCCCAACCACGTTTGCAGTAATCAGTCTTTAGGAGCAAGCTTTGCTCTGGAACTGGACAAAACCCAAATTCCAGGACAAAACAGAGTAATTGGGAACAGACTGCCATTTAATTGTGGTGGGTTGCACTAGACGGCAGTAGCCACTCCAGAAGTCTCGTCTGCTGCAAACGTGGCATCACAACTATGCCAGAAATTATTATTATTATTTTTCCCCTTCTTTGGGGCTCTGTATCACCTGCCATCCTTCTGCTGGTTGGGGAAAAACGAGTTTTGCTTTCCACTCAAGGCAGCTGCCCTTCCACCCAAGCATCCTCTTGGACACAGCTACTCCTCAGCTTAGCAACCCTTTGTTTAGGGAACCATTCGAAGTTACAACGGCACGGAAAAATAGGGCAGTTTTTCACACTTACGACCGTTGCAGCATCCCCACAGTCACTCAATCAAAGTTCAGAAGCTTGGCAACTGATTCATATTTATGACGGTTGCAGGGTCTCGGGGGGGTCATGTGACCCTTCCAACAAGCAGAGTCAATGGGGAAGCCAGATTCACTTAACAACCGGGTTTCTAACTTAACAATTGCAGCAAGAAACGTCGTAAAATGGGGCAAAGCTCACTTAACTGTTTCGCTTAGCGACAGAAATGTTGGGCTCGATTGCGGTCGTAAATCGAGGACTGCCTGTATATTCCATTATTATCTGTTCCCCTATGAATGGGCAGGTGTCCAATAAGGGCTCTTCCGCCTTTCGCTTAGCAACAGAAACTTTGGGCTCGATTGAGGTCGTAAGTGGAGGACCCAACTTACGACCACAACTGAGTCAAAAAAAATTAGTGAGGAATTTGTTAAATTTGTTTGTCCCATTTTACGGCTTTCCTTTGCCACGTTTGTTAAGCGAATCCCTGCAGTCGTTAAACGAGTAACACGGTTGTTGAGTGAATCTGGCTTCCCCCTTGATTTTCCTTTTCAGAAGGTCACAAAAAGGGGATCACGTGACCCCGGGACACTGCGACCATCCTAAATGCGAGTCCATTGTCCAGCATCCGAATGTAAAGCATGTGAGTTTGGGGGGATGCCACAACAGTCGTAAATGTGAAAAACGGTCCTAAGTGACTTCTTTCAGTGACATAACTTTGAACGGTCACTGAGTGAACGGTTGTAAGTCGAGGACTACCTGTACTCTGCTTTCAACCTTGTGCTGGATTTTAGCTGCCCCTTCAGATCCCCGTTGCTTTCAAGTTGATGTGCTTGGCCTCTGTGGTTTACTTCAGAAGTTGTGGGAGCTTCATCACTGGAGACTTTCAAGAAGAGACAGGACTGCCATCGGTCAGAAATGGTATAGGGCCGCGATGGTGAACCTATGGCACACATGCCAGTGGTGGCAATCAGAGCCCTCTCTATGGGCACATGTACTATCGCCAGCTGCTCTTCTGGTTTCCAGCACGCCGACCAGCTGGTCTTCATGGGTGCTGGAGCATTGGAAAATGGCCTGAAAACCCTCAAAAAACAGGCCGGTTTTCAGGCCATTTTTCAGGCTGTTTTTCAGGCTGTTTTCTGGGCCATCTTTCAGGCCTTTTTGGTCCGAAAACAGTCTGAAAATGGTCTGAAAACACCCCTTAAAATGGCCCCTAAAACGGCCAAAAAAAAAGGCCATTTTGGGCCATTTTTCAGGCTGTTTTCTGGGCCATCTTTCAGGCCTTTTTGGCCTGAAAACGGCCTGAAAACACCTTCCAAAATGGCCCCCAAAACGGCCAGAAAACAGCCATTTTTCAGGCCGTTTTTCAGGCTGTTTTTCAGGCTGTTTTCTGGGCCATCTTTCAGGCCTTTTTGGCCCGAAAACAGCTGAAAATGGCCTGAAAACACCTTCCAAAATGGCCCCCAAAACGGCCAGAAAACATCAGGCCATTTTTCAGGCCGTTTTTCAGGCTGTTTTTCAGGCTGTTTTCTGGGCCATCTTTCAGGCCTTTTTGGCCGAAAAACAGCCTGAAAATGGCCTGAAAACACCTTCCAAAATGGCCCCCAAAATGGCCAGAAAACAGGCCATTTTGGGGCTGTTTTTCAGGCTGTTTTCTGGGCCATCTTTCAGGCCTTTTTGGCCTGAAAACAGCCTGAAAATACCTTCCAAAATGGCCCCTAAAACAGCCAAAAAACAGGCCATTTTTTGGACCATTTTTCAGGCTGTTTTTCAGGCTGTTTTCTGGGCTGTCTTTTGGGCCTTTTTGACCCGAAAACAGCCTGAAAATGGCCTGAAAACACCCCCTAAAATGGCCCCCAAAATGACCAAAAAGCAGGGCATTTGGGGGGCATTTTTTGGGCCAAAAACTGCCCTGAAAATGGCCCGAAAACAACCGGGAAAACAGCCCGAAAAATGGCCAAAAACAGCCAAAAAAACAGGCATGCATGCCTTCCAGCTGATCTTTGGGTTTCCGGGTTTCCGGCACGCGCACGCACGCACACACACACATGCATGTGCATGCATGCACCTTCCGGTTTGGGCACTTGGTGCCAAAAAGGTTCGCCATCACTGGTATAGGGTCTCCTGTTTGGTTGGGGGGGGTGGACTAGATAACCTACAAGGTCCCTTCCAACTCTGTTAATCTAATCTAATTCTTCTTTAACCCACTTTTCAAAACAGGTTGCTGTGAATGGCCGGGAAGTTACACCTCCCTATACTAATGGTCAAGTGGAAGTCAATATCTACGGGACGCTAATGCACGAACTCAAGTTTTTGCAACACAACCACACCCTTGCCTTCACTCCGAGCAACAACGAATTCACCTTACAACTCAGCCCGAAGAGCTTTGCCTCAACAATGTATGGGCTTTGTGGTACGTTCGGAAAGTCCCTCCCCAGGTGCCATTTCTGCGTGTTTAGCGACGACCGAAGCCTTTCAAACGTTAACATCTCTATAGTAAAAGCTTGGTTTAATGGATCTCTCTTCAATGCATTCGGTCTCTATAATAAGGCTTTGAAATAAGACCATACTTGGAATATTGCATCCAGTTTTGGTCGCCACAACATTAAAAAGGATGTTGAGACTCTGGAAAGAGTGCAGAGAAGAGCAACAAAGATTATTAGGGGCAGTGGTGAAATCCAATTTTTTTTACTACTGGTTCTGTGGGTGTGGCTTGGTGGGCATGGCAGGGGAAGGATACTGCAAAATCCCCATTCCCTCCCCATTCCTGGGGGAAGGATACTGCAAAATCTCCATTCCCTCCCCACTCTGAGGCCAGCCAGAGGTGGTATTTGCCGGTTCTCCAAACTACTCAAAATTTCCGCTACCAGTTCTCCAGAATCTGTCAGAACCTGTTGGATTTCACCCCTGATTAAGGAGCTGGAGGGTAAAACATATGAAGAACAGTTGCAGGAACTGAGTATGTCTAGTTTAATGAAAAGAAGGACCAGGGTTGACGTGATAGCAATGTTCCAATATCTCAGGGGCTGCCACAAAAAAGAGGGAGTCCAGCTATTCTCCAAAGCCCCTGAGGACAGGACAAGAAGCAATGGGTGGAAATTAATCCAGGAGAGAAGCAACTTAGAACTAAGGAGAAATTTCCTGACAGTGAGAACAATTAATCAGTGGAACAACTTGCCTCCAGAAGTTGTGAATGCTCCAACGATTGAAAGTTGCTAAAAGGACTTTGTTGTAGACTGGAGATAGAGGATGTCATATCCCTCCACCTCTGTTGAGAGAGGGCTGTTCAATTTTGAAACAGATGGCCTCTTTGACCCCTTTTTCAAACCAGTGGTTTTCTCTGTCCGCAATGTGGACTTTGCTGTCTCCAGGTGGCCTCAACGACTCTCTAAAAGGAATGCAAATGACCAGCTGTCTGCAAGGCGTATAAATCCTTCCATTCCCCACCATCCAGTCAGAGCTGAAGAAGCTTCTTGACAACCATGTCTTGGATGACTGAGAATCTCCATAGACATAAAGTGCTTTTTAAGTACCAAAGATCGGTGCCAAGGGTGTCAAACTGAAGAGGTGTTTAGATCTGGCCCACAGGGGCCGCCTTGAAAACAGCAAAGGACCAGCCCGCGGTGCCTCTGCCAGTGACAATGGAGCTCGCTCCCGCCACCCACCCTCCGAGCTCCATTTTTGTTAGCAGAGAGGGCTAGCAAAACAAACTAAAAGGGGAAACAAAATGTTTCCCCTTTTGCATTTGAGCATCCAAGAAGGGGCAGGAAAGGAGAAAGGGAAAGAAGAAAGACAAAGAAAAAAAAGAAGGGAAGATGGGAAGAGAGCAAAGAAGGTAAAAGAAGGAAAGAGGGGAAGGAAGAAGAAAGGAGAATGAAGGTGGGAAAATGGAAGGAAGGAAGGAAAGAAGGAAAAAGAAAGAAAGAAAGAAAGAAAGAAAGAAAGAAAGAAAGAAACAAACAAACAAACAAACAAACAAAAGGAAGGAAGCAAGGAGGAAGGAAAGGAAGGAAGGAAGGAAAAAGAAAGAAAGAAGGAAGGAAGGAAGGAAGAAAAAAGAAAGAAGGAAGGAAGGAAGGAAAAAGAAAGAAAGAGAAAGAAAGAAAGAAAGAAAAGGAAGGAAGCAAGGAGGAAGGGAAGGAAGGAAGGAAAAAGAAAGAAAAGAAAGAAAGAAAGGGGAGGAAGGAAGGAAGAAAGAAAGAAATAGAAGGAAGGAAGGAAGGAAGGAAGGAGATTATAATGAGAGGGAGGGAGGGTCTGAAGGAAGTCCTGTCTTAGCACTTGGCCACCACAGATGCCCCGGACACGAGTGACATCGAGCTGGCCATGCCCACCCTGGCCACACCCATGCCAGCCATGCCCACCTGGCCCCCTGAGGTCAAACCCAATCCTGATGCGGCCCTCAATGAATTCGAGGTTGACACCCCTGATCTGTGCAATGCCTTAATTTCTTTCCTCTGTGTTTCTTTTTAGGGGTATGTGACCAAAACAGCGAGAATGACCTGCTCTTAAAGAACGACTCCATTACTCGTGACGTTACTGGTTTCATCCAGGATTGGACGATTCAGCAGCCGGGAAGGGTTTGCAAAGAGAGAAGGCCCGAGGTTTGCGTGGAGCACGCAAGCACGCGGTGCAGCATCCTGCTTTCCACTCTATTTTACGAGTGCCATCAGGTCATCCCTCCCAACATATTCTATGCAACCTGCGAAGAAAACAATTGCTTTGGGGAGGAAATGTGTGAGATCATAGCCTCCTACGCCCATCTTTGCAAAGTGCACGGGGTTTGCGTAGACTGGAGAACGCCAGATTTCTGCGGTGAGGATTTTATTCCTTCTGATAAAAGGGCCGCCTCTGGTTTTGCACTCTCTGTAATTTCCTTAGACGGTCCTTACAAGTTAAATAAAAATAATACAAATACAATACAGGTAGTCCTCACCTTACGACCGCAATTGAGCCCCAAATTTCTGCTGCTAAGTGGGACATTTGTTAGCAATAGCACTTAGACTTATATACCGCTTCACAATGCTTTTACAGCCCTCTTTAAGCAGTTTACAGAGTCAGCCTCTTGCCCCCCAACAATCTGGGTCCTCATTTTATTGACCTTGCAAGGCTGAGTCAACCTTGAGCCAGTCAGGATCAAACTCCTGGCAGTGGGCAGAATCAGCCTTGCAATACTGCATTCTGACCACTGCGCCAAGAGGAAGGAGAATGAAAAAGGGAATAAGGAATGAAGGAAAGGAAGGAAGGAAGGAAGGAAGGAAGGAAGGAAGGAAGGAAGGAAGGAAGGAAGGAAGGAATAGCAATAGCACTTAGACTTATATACCACTTTACAGTGCTTTACAGCCTTCTCTAAGCAGTTTACAGAGTCAGCATATTGACCCCCAACAATCTGGGTCCTCATTTTACCCACCTCGGAAGGACGGAAAGCTGAATCAACCTTGAGCCAGTGAGAATTGAACTGTCAAATTGCAGGCAGCCGGCAGTCAGCAGAAGTAGCCTGCAGTACTGCACTCTAACTACTGCGCCACCACGGCTCATTAAGTGGGTTTTGCCCCATTTCATGATCTTTCTTGCCACAGTTGTTAACTGAATCACTGCAGCTGAGGAGTTAGTATGTAACCCGGTTGTTAAGTGAATCTGAAGTCGATTTTGCTTGTTGGAAGGTCGCAGAACGGGATCACATGGCCGTGGGACACAGCAAAAGGTCATAAGTATGAACCAGTTGCCGAGTGTCTGAATTTTGATCACATGACTGTGGAGATGCTACAAAGGTCATCAGTCACATTTTTCGTGCCGTTGTAACTTTGAACGGTCCCTAAACGAACTGTTGTTAAGTTGAGGACTTATCTGTATAAGCAAGAAGAGCCTGTAGTACAGAAGTAAGAGCCTGTAGTACAGTGGGCTAAAGCACTGTGATTAACATCTGCTGCTTGCAATTACTGCAAGTTCGAATCTCACCAGGCTCAAGGTTGACTCAGCCTTCCATCCTTTCTAAGGGAGGTGAAATGAGGATCCAGATTGTGGGGGCAATAAGCTGACTTTGTATAAATATACAAAAGTATGAAGGCTATTGCTTAATGCATTGTAAACCGCCCTGAGTCTCCGGAGAAGGGCGGCATATAAATTAAAGCAAAAAAAAAAAGGGTATCTTTGTTACACTCTGTCAAATTTATGCCTTTTAATTCTAACCATTTTTCATGCTCTAATAATAATAATAATAATAAAAAATAGCAATGGCATTTAAAGCAATATGAAATATTCTCTTCTAATGGTATTTAAAAGCAATTTATGTCAAGTTTAAGATGAAGCCTTTGGAAAAATATCAGACCCAACCCTGATTTGTATCCCGTTTCCTGGAGCAATTCTGTTTGGCTTTTAAAACCACTCATTCTCTGGATGTTGGGAGCCAATGAATCTCTTTTGCCTCCCAATCTGTTTTTTTTTTTTTCTTCCAATCTCACATTCATTTGGAAAGCTTCCACACCAATTTGCAAATGGGTTTAAAAAGCCAAGCGCATGAAAAAATATGCGTTATTATTCCTCATCCTTTAGCCAACCTGCAGCATGGAAGGCTCCAGTTGAGAGTTGCAATTGGAAATTCTCCTTACTCTAGTGAACTAATCAAGGAGAGACGCAACCTAGAACTAAGGAGAAAGTTAGAGCAATTAATCAGTGGAACAACTTGCCTGCAGAAGTTGTGAATGCTCCAACACTGGAAGTTTTTAAGAACATGTTGGATAACCATTTGTCTCAAGTGGGTGTAGGGTTTCCTGTCTAAGCAGAGGGTTGGACTAGAAGACCTCCAAGGTCCCTTCCAACTCTGCTGTTCTGTTCTGTTCTGTTCTGTTCTGTTCTGTTCTGTTCCGTTCCGTTCCGTTCCGTTCCGTTCTGTTCCATTCCACATTCCATTCCGTTGTGTTGTGTTGCATTGCGTTGCATTCCATTCCATTCTATATAAAAGTAGATAAATACCTATTCTATTCTATTCTATTATTCTATTCTATTCTATTCTATTCTATTCTATTCTATTCTATTCTATTCCATTCTATTCTATTCCATTCCATTCCATTCTATATAAAAGTAGATAAATACCTATCCTATCCTATCCTATCCTATCCTATCCTATCCTATCCTATCCTATCCTATCCTACCTATCCCATTCCATTCCATCCCATTCCATTCCATTCTATATAAAAGTAGATAAATACCTATTCTATTCTATTCTATTCTATTCTATTCTATTTCTATTCTATTCTATTCTATTCTATTCTATCCTATCCTATCCTATCCCATCCCATCCCATCCCATCCCATCCCATCCCATTCCATTTCCATTCCATTCCATTCCGGATTGGCTTATCAACCATGTGATTCACTTAACCCCCACAGCAAAGAGCTTATAAAACTAGGCACAAATCACTTAACAACCACAACTCTTAGTGATCATAAATCAAGGAGTACCTGAAAAGCGAATGTTATTATCTATTATCTAATTATTCTGTTCTATTCTGTTTTTTCCTTAATCATGGTTCCCTAAAGCAGAATGAATTTTCACTCAGAAAAGTTGCTTTCTTAACCCCCCGTCCTCCCCTCCTCTTCCTCTTAATGGTATTATTGGGGGGGGGCAAAGCTCACTTAACACGCTTAGCAACATAAGTTTTGGGCTCAATTGTGGTCATAAATTGAGGATTACCCGTATTCGTTTTAAAAAGTGGGAGATGATTATACGTATATACATTTATATATTATAGTTTTTGGACTTTTAAAATCAGAACATATTATATTATTATAATATAATTATTATACTATTATTAGAATTGTTAAAATCTATGAGAAGGCAAGTATTGAATAGTGAATTGCAAAAGCAGAATATACATGCTGATACGGAAAGCTGTAAAATTATACTGTTGTAATCTTTGTGTTTTTTATTTGTTTTTATTTGTATTTGTTTTTTATTTTTCCTTTTTTTTTCCTTGTGTTTTTTAAAGTTGGAAAGTGTTCAATAAAAACTATTTAAAAAAATAAAAAGTGGGAGATGAAAGACACTTAAACCAACGTCTCACTTAGCGACATAACTTTTTGGGGCTCAAGTCGTGGACCACCTGTAGTTATTTCTCATCCGAGCTATTGTTTTAACTACTCCTGAAACTGACTTCTTCTTTTGCGCTTCAGCTTTTGAATTTGCTTGGCAGAGTCCCGCGATCAAAATCTGAAATGACATTTTTGCAGTTCTCGCTGTTGGCAAGAATTGTACTTAGTCTAATTAGATTTTTTTTCCCCCAACCTACTTCGAGCATCCAGGGGTGCTTATTTAGAGGTGGTTTATTTTTAGCACAATTTTACATTGATCCTTTCTTGACTAATTTACGTTCTGCCGGGGTTACCCCTGCTTATTTTTCTAATGGACTTTGTCGGACTTCTTTTATTTGCTTGACCTCTGCAGCCATGAAATGCCCAGCTTCTCTGATATACCAGCATTGCCAGAAAGGTTGCACAAAGCACTGTGAGAATGGGACCAACATGCAAATCTGTACAGACTATCCCACAGAGGGCTGTTTCTGTCCGCCGGGACAGGTCATCCTGAATGGCACCTGCGTTCACGAAGACATCTGCTCCCAATGCATCAGCGAAGATGGAAGTCGCCATCAGGTGAGGCTTTCACTCTGGATTCCCATCATCTACTGCAGAGGTGGGGAACAAGTATGGCCCTTTTATGACTCGCGGACTTCAACTCCCAGAATCCCTGAGCCAGCCATGCATGGCTGGCTCAGGGATTCTGGGAGTTGAAGTCCGCGAGTCATAAAAGGGCCATCTATCTACTATAAAAAAGGGACGTGGTGGCTCAGTGGCTAAGACGCTGAGCTTGTCAATCGAAAGGTCGGCAGTTCAGCGGTTCGAATCCCTAGTGCCGCGTAACGGGATGAGCTCCCGTTCCTTGTCCCAGCTTCTGCCAACCTAGCAGTTCGAAAGCATGTTAAAAAAAATGCAAGTAGAAAAATAGGGACCAGCTTAGATGGGAAGGTAACAGCGTTCCGTGCACCTTTGGCGTTGAGTCATGCCGGCCACCTGACCACGGAGACGTCTTCGGACAGCGCTGGCTCTTCGACTTTGAAACAGAGATGAGCACCGCCCCCTAGAGTCAGGAACAACTAGCACATATGTGCGAGGGGAACCTTTTCCTTTATCTACTATAATCCTGACTAGGTGGCTCAGTGGCTAAGACACTGAGACTTGTCGATCAGAAAGGTCGGCAGTTTGGTGGTTTGAATCCCTAGTACAGGGATTGGTGTACAGGGATTGCGTGAGCAGGGGGTTGGACTAGATGACCTCCAAGATCCCTTCCCAACTCTGTTACTGTTGCTGAGAAAATGAAAAACCTTCAGAGAGACAGGAACTTCCAGATTTCATAGGATCCGGTCTATATTTCAGTGCCGTCCACAGCGTATCAACTTCAGCAGGTACTGTCGTCCTCGACTTACAACAATCCATTTAGTGATGGTTCGAAGTTACGACAGCACTGAAAAAAAGTGATTTATGTTAGGTTTTTTTTACATTTAGGATCGTTGCAGCATTCCCCACGGTCACGTGATCAAAACTCAGAGGTTTGGCAACTGACTCGTATTTATGACGGTCGTAGTGTTCTGGGATCACGTGATTCCCTTTTGCGACCTTCTGATGAGCAAAGTCAATAGGGAAGCCAGATTCACTTAAGAAACGTGTTACTAACTTAACAACTACAGTGATTCACGTAACAACCGTCGTAAAATGGGACAAAACTCACTTTACAGCTGTCTCACTTAGCGACAGAAATTTTGGGCTCAGGTGTGGTCGTAAGTCGAGAACTACCTATACTCCCACTGTTTATTATTTATATAGTATTCCTTTGCTATTGTTATTGTTACATTTTTTCCCCGTTTAATTGTAAGCCACCCAGAATAGCCCAACATCGAAATATTTTTAACATGTAAAAATTCCATTTTCAATTAAACAGCATGTTGTCCGGGATAGATAGATAGATAAATAGATAGATAGATAGATAGATAGATAGATAGATAGATAGATATAGATAGATATAGATATAGATATAGATATAGATATAGATTGCATAAAGTTTTTTATTTTTTAACATGTAAAAATTCCATTTTCAATTAAACAGCATGTTGTCCGGGGATAGATAGATAGATAAATAGATAGATAGATAGATAATAGATAGATAGATAGATAGATAGATATAGATAGATATAGATATAATATAGATATAGATATAGATATAGATATGATATAGATATAGATATAATATAGATATAATTGCATAAAGTTTTTTATTTTTTAACATGTAAAAATTCCATTTTCAATTAAACAGCATGTTGTCTGGGTATAAATAGTTTGAAAGATAATAATCATAATGTTTACAACAAAAGAAGGAATCTGATCTTTATTTTGTTGGGCTTTTTCCCCCTCACCATTAATACAAAGTTCCATAACTCCATAACTTATAACGAAATAAATATTACGTCACGGGGGACAATAATTTTCAAAATGGAACCTGAGGCAAAAATCCTAGGTCTACCTCAGAAATGAAAATCTCAGCTTGTGAGCAGGAGTAGCCTTAGGCTATTTAATATTTTCCTCTCATTTTGTTTCCATCTGTGGAACACCTTTGGTGTCCATGGCTCTCCGGAGTTATTTATTGCTTTTTAGTAGCCTCTCCCAGGACTTACACTATGTAGTTCCGTGTCTGTTTACCATCAGCCTTATATTCTTAGGAAAGGATACGCTCACGGAGGAATCTGGAACGTTTTTAGTGTAAAAGAAGCTGGTGTGCCTTTGTTATAAAATGCATGACCAAGGAATAATGCGAAACACTATACGTCCTGAATTTTTCCAAAGTCTGGCTTTACTTGTCTTATTGAGTCAATATTTGGTATGCTTTATTTAACGAAGAGCAACACGTTTTCTCTTTCTTCCAGTATTTACAGGAGCGTGTTCGTGCAATTGGGGAAAAGGGCGAGGCCCTGAAATTATTTGTACCTCGTGTCAAAGGCAGTAGCTTTCGTTTGCATCCAAGCCAATTAGAAAGATTCATTTCTTCTTCTTTTTTTTTTTTCTCAACAGCCCTTGGAAACGTGGATTCCTTCCACTGAGCCCTGCAAAGTCTGTATGTGCTTGGAGAACAGGACCGTTAATTGCGCAGATCAGCCTTGCCCGACAGCCAAACGTAAGCCCAACCGTCTTTTCAAAAGGCATTGCGTGGAATGGGACAACCTGCCACGGGGCAGCCATCTTGCCACGGGGACAATTCCACGTGGGATAACTCAAACGTGATAAACGTCATACGCCACTGTCTCTTCGACACGATGTCGCTTGACGAAAATAAGGGAAATCGTGTCGAAGAAACCGTGGCAGAGAATGTGGGTCACGTTTGAGTTATCCCGTGTGGATTGTCACACGGCTAGATGGCCGTGGCAAGATGGCCGTGGCAAGATGAGAATATAGAATAACAGAGTTGGAAGGGACCTTGTAGGCCATCTAGTCCAACCCCTTGCCCAGGCAGGAGACCCTACATCATTTCTGACAGATGGCAGTCCAGTTTCTTCTTGAAAGCCTCCAGTGATGAAGCGCCCACAACTTCTGAAGGCAACTTCTGTTCCACTGGTTGATTGCTCTCACTGTCAGGAAATTTCTCCTTATTTCCAGGTTGAATCTCTCCTTGATCAGTTTCCATCCATTATTTCTTGTCTGGCTTTCAGGTGCTTTGAAAAACAGCTTGACCCCCCTCCTCTCTTTGGCAGCCCCTCAAATATTGGAAGACTGCTATCATGTCTCCCCTGGTCCTTCTCTTCACTAGACTAGCCATGCCCAGTTCCTGTAACCGTTCATCGTATGTTTTAGCCTCCAGTCCCCTCATCATCCTGGTTGCTCTTCTCTGCACTTTTTCTAGAGTCTCAACATCTTTTTTATAGTATTGTGAGATATAAGACCCAAATATTTTAATCCTCACAATTCATAAACAAGTCTGTTTCACAAAATCAAAGGTTTATTGGAGATAAAATGAAGAAAAATAAAAAGCGGTTGCAAGTGCGGCCTCTTGGACCTTTCCCAAAAGGATTGAGTTCAAAGTGTGCAAGAAGCAGTTTTCAAGCTACATATTTTATACTCCTACACAATGCACGCCACGCCTAAGAAGCCCTCCCAACTCCCCTGTATTCTCCTAAGTCATTCTTCAAGTTGTTTTACACTTTAAAGGGTCATCTTGACAATTCCTGTCTAACAATGACTATCTTATCATGTTTACTTTTAACTTCACCTTTGGCGGATGTTCCTTTTTTTACTGATAATGGTTTTGCCCAAGGCGTAGGTTCCTGTCTCCAAGGGAGCTTTTAGCAAGTCCTAACGCATTGTCTCTACTGATTACAATTTGTGGTCAGCTTGCAACAGTAAGAACATCATAGCTTTTTAATACATTAAACACTTTTTTTTAATTTTAAAAAACAAACTATTAAATTTTTAAAAAAAGATAAAATTGTATAAAACATTCACAACCTTAAAATACAATCAACAGTATCAACAAACAACAAACAAAGTATATATAATGTATTTAAGTACACATATATACAAAAACTTATTTTCCCTTTTTTTTTCCTTTAATGACGGGTGTATAATTATTATTTTTAATTTCTTACTAAATTTTGACTTTACCTTCTTTTCCATTGGTTTATCCATGTATATAAGTACACATATATACAAAAACTTATTTTCCCTTTTTTTCCCCTTTAATGACGGTGTATAATTATTACTTTTAATTTCTTACTAAATTTTGACTTTACCTTCTTTTCCATTGGTTTATCCACTCATACCAACTGTCCCATATCTTAAAATACTGTGAGTCTTCCTTATCTTTCAATTTCAACGTTAGTCTATCCATTTCTGCACATGTGTAAATTTTTTGAATTATTTGCTGCTCCGTTGGCAATTGATTGTTTTCCAAACTTGTGCTAGGGCTAACCTAGCTGCTGTGATTATATGTAATATTAGGTATTTTTTTTCCTTTCTAATGTTTTGTTTGCAACAGTAAGAACATCATAGCTTTTTAATACATTAAACACTTTTATAAAAGAGTAACTTATTATTCATTTCCTTCAGTATGGTGACCAAAACTGGGATGTAGTACTCCAGGGATGGGTTCTACATATCTTTACTACCGGTTCGCATTGCTCCCGCATGCACAGATCATCTGTGATGACATCCGGGTCAGTGGGTGGAGTCTCCTGCCAGTTTTACTACCGGTTCTTGCAAACCGGTCTAAACCAGGGGCAACCCACCTCTGCAGTACTCTAGGTGTGGTCTTATTAAGGCTTTATAGAGTGGTATTGGTACCACTCTATAAAGATCTCAGCGGCGAGTCTTATGACAACTCTTCCCATTTTCAAAAGAGAGATGAAGATGTTCCAGATTCATTGCAGGGTTATGCATGTCCTGTGCCTTTTCCCAAGTCTTGATTTGAGATCCATTTTGTAGTGCCGAGGCGAAAACCCAGGCCCGATCTTTCAGGAAGCAGATCTCCTCATCTTTTCTCCCTTCTTCCCACCTGAGGCACCTATTCTGAACCCGTGAAATTCTTGTTGTTAGATGAGTTTTGACAACCATTTCGATATGAGCCAGCCGTGTGCTGCAGCGGCCAAAAAAGCCAATGGAATCCTAGGTTGCCTCAACAGAGGGATAGAATCAAGATCATGTGAAATGCTAATACTTTTTTATACTGCACTGGTAAGCCAGACTTGGAATACTGCATCCGATTTGGTCATCACGATACAGAATGATGTTGAGACTCTCTCTTCCTCCCCCACCCTCTCTTTCTCAGCCATTGACTGTGGTCCCTGTGAGATTCCAAGACTCCAGAGGAATTCCAATCAGTGCTGTCCAGCCTTTGAATGCGGTAGGTTCCTGAGAGTCATTCCACATTGCAGTACAAATAATCCTCAATTTATGATCGTAATTGAACCTGCAATTTCTGTGAAAAATCCATCCATCCATCAATCCATTGATCCATCCATTCATCCATCCATCCACATCTATCTATCTATCTATCTATCTATCTATCTATCTATCTGTCATCTATCATCTATCATCTATCTATCCATTCATCCATATCTGTCTGTGTATCTGTCCATCCATCCATCCATCCATCCATCATCCATCCATATCTGTGTGTCTGTCTGTGCTGTCTCTGTCTGTCTGTCTATCATCTATCTATCTATCTGTCTATCTATCTATCTATCTATCTATCTATCTATCTATCTATCCATCCATCATCCATCCATCCATATCTGTCTGTGCATCTGTCCATCCATCCATCCATATCTGTGTGTCTGTCTGTGCTGTCTCTGTCTATCTGTCTATCATCTATCTATCTATCTATCTATCTATCTATCTATCTATCATCCATCCATCCATCCATCCATCCATCCATCCATCTATCCATCTATCCATCCATCCCTATCCATCCATCCATCCATCCATCCATCCATCCATCCATCCATCTATCCATCTATCCATCCATGTCTGTCTATCTATCCATCCATCCATCCATCCATCCATCTATCCATCCATCCATGTCTGTCCATCATCCATATCCATCCATCCATCCATGTCTGTCTATCTATCCATCCATCCATCCATCCATCCATCCATGTCTGTCTATCTATCATCCATCCATCCATCCATCCATCCATCCATCCATCCATCCATGTCTGTCCATCCATCCATCCATCCATCCATCCATCCATGTCTGTCCATCCATCCATCCATCCATGTCTGTCTATCTATCTATCCATCCATCCATCCATCCAGTATGCCACCCATCTCACCAAAGGCAACTCAAGAGTCTTAAGCCATCTTTTTACAATTGGCAACAGGCCTGTTGCCTCCTTGATGCTCTGAATAGATCCTGTTCTGTGGTTTGTTGCAAGTAATAATCTCTCTTGTTTTTTTTTCCTGTGTTTAGTCTGCGATCTGATCTCCTGTAAATTGCCCCCCATCCCTCACTGCGAAGATGGTCTCCAACTAATCCAGACAAATCCTGGAGGATGTCGACCCGATTATGCTTGTGGTAATACTCCTTTCAACCACCAAATGCTGGGTTGACTTCCTAACGTTTCTCCTATTTGGCGTCTGCTATAAGTTTTCTATTTCACCTTTTTTCCCCATTTCCTATAACATGGGGGGGGGAACCCTCTCCTGCTAACTATTTGGGTTTTCTGATTTGATTGGCAGTCTGCAAAAAGGAAGAATGCGAGCCAAAGTCCACCCCATCCTGCCCACCACACCGTAAACTGATTTGGGTGAAGACTCAGTGCTGCGATAAATTTCAGTGTGTTTGTAGCTGTAACAATTCAACGGTGACCTGCCCACCGGGTTATCTCTCATCGTCTGTCACCAATGATTGTGGCTGCACATCTACTACATGCATTCCAGATCAGGTAAAAATCAAAACCAAACCATCCACTCCAGTCCTTTCCATGGTCCAGGGGTCGGCAACCTTAAACCCTTAAAGAGCCACAAAGGTCCTAACTGGAAGCCCCCCGTTCAATTCTGGAGGTCCTGTTCCCCCACCATAGAGTCTCCTCCTAGCATGGTGTCCTTTTTCCTCTACTGACCAGAAGTCCTGTTTCCCACCACCACCACCACCATAGAGTTTCCTCCTAGCTCGGCATCCTTTTTCCTCTACCTGTCCTAACCGAAAGCCCTATCAATTGTGGAGCTGACTGGCGACGGAGCCACAGCAGAGGGATGAAAGAGCCACATGCGGCTCCAGAGCCACGGGTTGCTGACCCCTGCCATGGTCCATATCTGTCAATCCCCCAAACTTCTGATTTTGAGTCAACTCTTCGCGAACAATCCCCAGGATTGTTGGTTAATAACAGCTGCTTTGAGACCTTTGCAAACTCATGATGGTGTCATCTAGGGGGTGATTTACAGTTTACTGTGGCCTCTTTTTCAAATGATTTTGATATTTCAATAATTTGGGGGTGTTTTTGTGCCCCAATTCTATATGCATTAGCTTCATGGTCTGCCCTGTGATTTTTACTTTGTTTGGGATGGAATTATTTGACTTCCTTGCTATTCAAGGCAATCTGAGCATCTATTCAAGTGTAGTTAAACTACCTTCCTCTCTAAAATCATAATCCACTGCCTTGCTGGATCAGGTTGCCTTTTCCTTAAAACATTGTACAGTGAACACATGGTGGGATATACTTCCTCTGAATAGGGTGGTTTTTCTAAAGGCTGTGAACTTATCTGTTAGTTTTGTAAGGCAAACAAGTGACAATTGTATAACAAAGGACTTCATTGTTTAAAGTCTTTAGCTTTAGGAGGAGTGGCAGAACCTGGGGGTGGAGTCAAAAGAGGGATCAGCCTAGAATCCCTACATAGCCACAAAAAAACTAAGGTCAATCCTCCTTGAGTGCCGTTGACCCTTACCTGATTCTAAGCAGGTGCTAACGGTTATTTGAGAAGATTCCTTTTAGCAATAAATCAGTTTAATTGGACCTTCGCTGGTCAACTTGATTTTTCATGCCTGACATAAGGCAAAGCCTTTCAAAAAATATTTCCCAGAGGTGAGAAGTATTAGCACATTTAAACTGAGCATATTTAAAGCCGCAGCCATCATTGCAAAATTTAACATGACAATCTGAAATGGTATAGGGGTTCTTGCCTGAGCAGGGATTGAATTAGAAGACCTCCAAGGTCCCTTCCAACTCTGATGTTCTGTTCTGTTCTGTTCTGTTCTGTTCTGTTCTGTTCTGTTCTGTTCTGTTCTGTTCTGTTCTCTTCTCTTCTCTTCTCTTCTCTTCTCTTCTCCTCTCCTCTCCCCTCCCCTCCCCTCCCCTCCCCTCCTCTCCTCTCCTCTCCTCCCTTCCCTTCCGTTCTCCCTTCCATTCTCCCTTCCCTTCCCTTCCCTTCCATTCCATTCTCTCTTCTCTTCTCTTCTCTTCTCTTCTCTTCTCTTCTCTTCTCTTCTCTTCTCTTCTCTTCTCTTCTCCTCTCCTCTCCTCTCCTCTCCTCTCCTCTCCTCTCCTCTCCTCTTCTCTTCTCTTCTCTTCTCTTCCCTTCCCTTCCCTTCCAGTCCATTCCATTCCATTCCATTCCATTCCATTCCATTCTCCCTTCCCTTCCCTTCCCTTCTCCCTTCCCTTCCCTTCCCTTCCCTTCCCTTCCCTTCCCTTCCCTTCCCTTC